CTCCCTCTCTCTCCCTCTCTCTCCCTCTCTCTCCCTCTCTCTCTCACCCTCACGCAAAACCCGAAAACCGATCCCGAAGGCCATAACTAACTAATTCCCCCCCCCCAAAAAAGCCCATCGAATTCCTAACCTCCTACATCTCCTTCGCCCGCACCACCATCCACCCCACCATAACCCCCCCCGCCGGCCGCGCCCTCGTCGAAGCCTATGTCGAAATGCGCAAACTCGGCCAAGACGTCCGCACAGCCGACAAACGCATCACCGCCACCACGCGGCAACTGGAATCCATGATCCGGCTCTCCGAAGCCCACGCCAAAATGCGGCTCTCCGAGGTCGTCACTCCCGACGACGTCGGCGAAGCAGTCCGCCTGATCAAATCCGCGCTCAAAACAGCTGCTACCGACGCCCAGGGACGGATAGATATGAGTTTGTTGACGGAGGGGACGAGTGCGGCGGAGAGGAAAAAGAAGGCGGATATGAAGGATGCGGTGGTGAGGTTGTTGGATAGTGAGTTGACGGCCGGGGGGCAGGCGGTGAGGTATGCGGAGGTGGCGAGGAGGTTGGCGGAGGGGGCTGGGGTGCCGGTTGAGTCGGGGGAGTTTGCGGAGGTGATGAGGACGTTGGAGATGGAGGGGGCTGTGATGGTTAGTGGAGAGGGGCCGAGGAAGAGTGTGAGGAGGGTTACTGCGAGTGTTTGATCTGAAGAAGCAAGAGTTGAAGGTTAATGTTTCTGAGAAATGAATAGGTAAATGTGTCATGAACCATGGGCTACTGAGTGGTAAACATCAGTGTATTTCAAATTCCATGCTTCTATCAAACATAAAAGAAGTCGCATACAACCATTCCCAATAAACCGTCGCAGCTAGGTATATCATAACCAAAGAGAATAACAAACCGATACCCAACACACCCCTCATACTCCAAAGTCTTAATACCTCTCACTCAACCCATCCACCTCACTACCCTCCGTCCCCCTCCCAGGCCTAACATTCTCTTTCCCCTTCCCCTGTCCCATCCCACCTCCAACTCCCACCATCTGACTACCACCACCACCACCACCACCACCACCACACCCCGCATTGACAATAACAGTCTTACCATCACCGCCAGCCTCCCCCAGCAACGCCGCCTCATTCAACGTCCAGTCCCGCAGGTCGTCCTCGGCATCGTTCAGAATCTGGCGCGCTTGGGCCGCATGTGTGTATGGCGGACGGACGTCGCCGGGCACCACGGGATGGTCATCGATAAGCTGCAGCAGCCGCAGGCCGTGGCGGGCGAGGATGGCTTGTTTCTCGGCCCGCTCGATGGTTGCGAGGAAGTCGATGGTGTAGGACTCTTTGAGTTTCTGTCGGGTCTGTCGGTAATCAGTACCTGTCCCCTGCGTCTCTCAAACATAACGTAAGGTAAAGCCCCTTGGGACAAGGGGTTCCACCGAACCACGGCAAGAAACACGAGCCACGACAAGCAGAAGAAGAAGAAAAAAACCTACCACATTCCCCAACTGCGCCTCCGCCACCAAATTCTCCGCCTCCGCCCTCACCAACTCCTGCTCCAGCGTCACCAACCGTGCACTCTGCGGCTCCCGCGCCCGCAGCCGCGCCATCTCGTCCGCAATCCGCCGCCTCCCATCCCGACTCGGCTGCACGCTGCGCTCCGTATTCCGCACCACCTTCAGCACCGCCCTGCTCTCGTCCAGCCGCGCTGCGTACGCTTCTTCTTGCTCGCCGAGCTCGGAGAGCACTACGCCGATTTTGTCGCTGATGTCGGAGATGGCGGTGTCTTTGCTCGAATGGAGGGGGCCGCTGCCGCTGCCGCTACTACCGCCGTTGCTGTGGTGGTTGGTAGGGGCTGGTGAGAGAGTGGAAGTAGACGCAGTCTGCTCCCCCCATTCAGAAAGTTGCGTAGCGATGGAGAGACGCTCGCGCGCGGCGGACTCGTGGGCCGAGACGAGGGTGTTGGCCGACTTAATCAGGCGGTGGAGGCGTTTGGAGAGGGCCGGCTGGGAGCTGCCGCGTAGCGAGGGGAACGAGAAAGGCTTGCGGGAGCTGCGGGTGCTGTTGCTGCTGTGGGTGGAGTGCTGTTGTTGGTGGTGGTGGTTGAAGGTGCTGGTGTTGGAGGTGGGCGCGCCGGAGAAGGTGATGGGGTTGTTGTTGCCGCCGCCGCCGCCGGAGGAGCGGTTGGAGGACCGGAAGGAGAGGGCGCGGTTCCTATATAGTAAATGGATGATTAGTTAGAGGGAGGCGGAACAAAAGTAGATGGCTCAATGGGTGAGGGCGAGATGGTATACCACTGGGACGAGAGAGAGAAGTGCCGGGAGCTTTCGGTGCTTTTGCGCGACATGACTTTGTGGTTGATGGCTGTGGTTGAGAAAACGGACTGGAGACAGAGACTTACAACATCTTAGTCTCATTTACAATGTCTTTCCAAGAAGAGATTCTTGTTCCAGATATGCCTGATGAGTCTGTCCTGATTCAGCAAGAGCCCAACGAATATGGTTGCTCGAGTGCTCCTTCCTGGTATCAAAAGAGTAAAGGCAAGTGCCTACTGGTTATAATGAGCGATGTGGTCCGTTTGGCCGCTCAGTCTGATATCTTGAACGCGCGATTTCAAGCAGAAAGAAAGCGATGATGATATTGTCCGTAGAATGTACGCTTCTTATGCATCCCCCCTTAGATTTAACTTTTGTCAGGACACCCCTTCAACGTAGGGACAAATTATCTGCCCCAACCAAGCCATCTTCGCATTAACCAAACTATTATGTTGTCTCCGACGTAATAACACATCAACCAGCAAATCCTGGCGAGGTTAGCTCCTTTGAGTGCCTCGATTGGAAGCGCATCGTCATGGGGGGCCTGCGATGGGTGGGAGGAAGAGATGACGTCATAGCCGCTTCCGTTCCCCCGTCACTTCACGCGACTCAGCACTTCACAACGATCTGTATGTTGGAGTTTGGCAATGCAGTGAATAATTGAGGAACACAAATCTAACCGAAATTTATTACAAATTACTCCTCGCTCCGCCCATACCCAAGCACTATGTGACCATCCCAGTCCAAGTAAATGCACCTCTCCCGCTCATCCAAACCATCCCAAACCCTATCCCTAACGCTCTACCCTCTACCACCACCCACCCCATAAGTTCATTCACCTCGTCGCATACACCACCGGCGTGCTCGACCGCTGGTAACTAACCACCGTAGCCCTTGGCCCAGGGGAGGAGTACCGAACAGTGCTAGAGTAGCTAGCCCGGGGCGAGTAGTGATGGCCGTGACTGTGACTGTGGCCATGACTGTGGTGGCTGTGGGTGGTGCTGGTGTAATAGCGAGGCCGATTGGGGACGATTTCTTCGCGGTAGTAGTACTTCTCTTTTGGGTCTGATCGGAGGCATAGTGAACTGAGGCACATTTTGATTGGTTTTTGCGTGGCTGTGGTTGGGTTTGTTTTTTGAGGGGGTAATCGATTTTGGTCTTGGTGATGGCACGGTGGTTTCGTTGTCTTTGTGAAGAAGGTGTGGAAGTGAAGGTTGGCGCCAGAAGTAAAGACCAGAGAATGGTTTCAACCGTGACTCGAACCGATCGCGGTTTTCTCCTGAGATTTATCTACAGCCTCAACCCCCCGGCCATCCACCAGATGTCCAGAAAAACAAGGTTATTGTCAACACATGCATGGGTGGCTTAGCAGGACCCTGAATCTGCCGGTCCATTCCCATCGTTACATTGGTTCCGAAGCCAAGCTTTTGTGCTCCCACACCTTGACGGTGATGACGATGCCCAGCCAGTACCCGTAGAGTCGTAACAACTCACGTCCCGGGCGAAACTCTTTTGTCAAGGCCGGCCAGGAGATCTCTCTGCCCTCTCTGTCAAAATCTTGAACGCACGCCGACTGGTACTGTGCTAAATATCCGCTGTGAAAGTTCAGCCCCTCTTCCCCACACCAAGCCCACAAGGACGCCGCCTAGCAAACCCCAAAACAAAAAAAAATAAAACCAAAAAAATAGAGTTCACAGCATGATATCTCTCAACCACCCCGTTCACCCCTCTCAAGCACTCATGATCCGATCCAGGCTCGAACTGGAGACCTTCAGTGTGTTAGACTGACGTGATAACCAACTACACCATCGGACCCTTCGCTTGTTTTGATGAGGGCTCCACTCGGTGGACTCGACTTATGAGTCAAGACGGGACGGTTCGTACTGGGATTCTCAAGACAACGGCTACATAGTTAGGGCACGCATGATAGATGGGACCGTTTTGTCGCTTTGCCGATTCCTCTAATGTTCAATCCATGGGAAACAGACAGACGTAGGATACATACAACATACAACATCAGAAAACCCTTGCTAGAAAAAAAAAGCCGAAAATAGACCATTTTATATTACCCCCTTTCCCATTCAACTTCCACCTCCCGGGATCTATTTCTTCTTCGCATCAAATTTCAGCTCCAGATTTCCCACGAGCCACGCGCTCACAAACACGGCCACGGCGCTGCCAAACACAATCAGTGGTTTCCTCAGGGCTGCCGCGAGCGGGTAGTCGTATGTGATGACCAGGTCGCGGTCCCGGAAGTCGTCGACGAGGTTGCGAGCCTTGATGATGAGGGCCGTGCGGCCGATGGTGTCGAGGAAGGTCTTGTGGACTCCGACGCTGGTAGAGGTGATGGATTGGGTTGGGATGGAGGTGTGGTATTGCACATTTCTGGGGGGGTTAGTCAAGGGATGTAATAGGGATATTGGGGAAAGTGGAAAAGATAACGTACTCGGCTCCCTCGGGCAGGATGACCCGGATTTGCACCTGTTCATACTCAACACCCTCCGCCTGCTTCGGGCCCTCGAGGAAGGGCACGTTAAGCACAAACCCGCCGGCGGCCGTCTTCCGCAAAAAGTGGCTGGCGTCCGAGTTCCAGCCAATTGTGAAGGGGTACTTCCACCCGCCAAACAACGGGTACCGCGGCTTAACTTCAAGCAAGGCCTCGCGCTTGTTGCTCCGGAACTTGGATGTCGACACGTTGCCAATGACATCGGTGTAGTACGGGTCGGCACTGCCAGGGCGCAGCGGGAACTTGAGCTCCTTCAGCGCATGCGAGTTGGGCTGGTAGTATTGCGACTGCTGCCACTTGACGCGGTTGAACAGCGACGACAGGTTCGCGCCGCGGTGGTGCAGCGTGTAGCGCTCCTCAAAGGCTACGTTGCCGCCCCAGTGGCTGACCTCGATGTCGCGCTCCAGCTCCGAAACGTGTGTCACCGGCTTGTTGAACTCGAAGCGCACGCTGACGGGCTCGGTGGCCCCCGCGGGTTTCTCGTCGAATGGGCCGTAGGTCAGCTTCTTCTGCGGGAACTCCTCGACGTCGCCGCTGCCTGGGAGCTTGGTATAGTCGAGGATTGCGCCCGATGGGAACTTGACTTCGGTCTTTTGCTTGGTCGTGTCGTAGGCGGACAACCAGTAGGCTGAGAATGGGAAGGAGAGGTATTGCTTCTCTTCTTGCTTGATCGAGGCTGGGAGGGGATTGTAGGCCTTGAGGAGGTAGTAGCTGATGCCGAGGGTCCGCTGCGCGCCTGGCGCGAGGGCGTTGGGGAGACGGATGCGGAGGTACTGGATGTCACTGTGCCAGTCAGCGTCTGGGGGTCGAATTGAACAATCACCCGGATTTCCAGACTCAATTCCGCCTACCTGTCTTTGTCAAACTCGACCACCTCGGCGACAAACGGCCCCGCGCTGCTGTCCTTGCGGTCCTTCACCTCCACCCCGCCGAGGCGCGATAGCTGGTCGGCCGTAAACGGCACGAAGTACTCATCCTGGGCCTCCTTGTCGATGTTCTGCACGAGCACGTTGACGTTCTCTTTGACGTAGTTCTTCTCGACCGAGATGATGTGCACCAGATTGGCGTTCTTGAAGACTTGGGGTGGTCGGAAGGTGGACGGAAGTGTGGTGGAGCTACTGCTGCTTGACTTGGAGCTCGCGGCCGAGGCCAGCGACAGCAGCGACAGGAGCGCCGAGAAGACGCCTGACGTCTTCATCGTGAAAAAAGCGACGGCAGGAGGCTCATGAACCTCACGTGGCCGCCAATTGGAAAATCAAAGGAAGAAGGGAGTGGGCGACGGGGAAAGAAAACAAGGGTTTGGCCGATATGATGCACCCGTTGACTTCCATCATCGTGGCCTTCTGACGGCAGCTGCCAGCCAGCTCGAAAAGCTTACGTTGCCGAAACAACCCCTGTCGCCTTCCATATGTGGGGCCTAGACGAGACGCTGGGAGCGCTTCCATTGGCCAATCCCTGTGCAGCAAATGCCGTTGTCTTCCATAACACTTCATATTTCGAGGCTCAATGAAAGGTAAACTTTCTGCGGGAGGCCAACTGTGGATTGGGAGAGACTATGATGCACCGGCTGCAAAGCAAGTAGCATGGGGTTTAGAGAGCCCCAACATTTTTACAACAATGAAGCTCTGTCGCACTTGCCCCAGCTACATCCTCTCCTTGCAGGTCCCACCTGTGTTCGAGATAACAACATGGACTCCGGCCAACAACTTCTTGTTCACTTCGACCTTCTAAACCTCAGTTAAACCCTATGGCAAACTTGCTACTCGAACGCCCCCTAACAATCTATCAAAAATCCCGTCATCTGACACCTTTCCTCATGGCCGCGTCTCCGCCCCGCCGAAGAAATGATCCTGTGGTCGCTCTTCGCCTCGATGACGAGGGGAACGTCACTGTCCTGACGCGCGCTGAACTCGACCACGACGATCCATCAGCTTCTTGTGGAATAGAGCTCCTGGAGAATGACGAAGGCGACAGAACTTTCACCCAGGTCGTCATCCGGTCGTTGTATAACGATGGATGTGAAATGTTCTCTAAGGATATTTTTCGGAATGTTGCCGAGCAATTCGACCTGTGCGCAAAGCATCCCAACGTAGAGCATCGCGTTTCGCTTATGGGAATCGACGGCATAATTGTGGACTTCTTCTTCAAACTCGGAGCGGATGTCACCGACGGGGGAAAGGTCCGTTGGCCGGGCTGCAGGATCAAAACGTGTGTCTTGTATTCGCAGGCGTTCAGCGGCTTGGGCTAATTCAGGTCTATAGCTCCAAACCCCGTCTCGACTACCGCGGTATCCGCCGGCTCATGTTAGCTGCGGGCAGCCCGCATTCCAATCCGGAGGGCGCCTACCTGACCATCGGTATCGTGTTAGAGACGGAGATTTACGACGCCACAACCAACGCCGTGCTTAGCCCCTGGCTGGACCGAAGTTGCCACACCGTCTTGCAGCGATTCTACCGCGAGCGGCAATCCTAGGATGACGCCTTTGCACGGGACGGCCTCCACTCATTCATTGAATCAAGCGAGATCATGCCCAAGATCAACAACGTCGTTGCGGTGGGCTGTGGCACCATATCGCGGTTCGAGGACGCGGACCTGCGTGACCATAGCATGTCGCAACATGCACTGATGCTCGCCGTACGAGATCTCGTAGAGGCCAGCTGCAAGAAGCAGCGCATCGTCCAGTGCTTTGCTCAAGACCCTATCTACGATCCGGTAGATAAAGCGGTCCTGGAGGATGCGGATATCACCGTGTTGAGTGATCCGAGAATCTGGCTCGAGATTGACGAAGGGAGCGTGGTCATTTCAGTTGGGCCTAACATTCCAGTCTTGGAAATCATTGCCGACATTGCGAGACCGCTCGTTCTAGTGATCTCGCGGCCCCGTCTAACGTTGGTGACCCTCGACTCTTAAACTAGCGGACCAGGTGCTAACTTTGATCCTAGTGAAGTCGCACCTCGAGTCCGCACCATGCTTTTAAACGAGTACATCCGAGAAGAGCACTTTGATATTACCCAAGCCTTCGGTGACGCTGCAATTTTCGTCAGAACACCGTGAGGGCTGAATACGAGTTATTGGACTACAGCAATTCAATTTTGTCAATCATTGTTACCGAGGAATATTTTAAGGGGGCTATCAGGAATTGTAGAGTGTAGCGTAGCGCCGTTGCATTTTCAGGGGCGAGGTAAACAATTAGCGGCATATCCAGGGGTTAAAAACAAAATCAGTTCACACATAACCCTAACCCGCGAACCCCCCACGCTCGGACTTGGCAAAATATCAACGGTCTCAAAGCCCCCAAACTCAGCTGTGTTGGGGTGCGGGGTAATTGCCACTGTGCTGTGAGCTTTGCTCCCGATGGATAGATAGAGGGGCATCCCTGCCGGCACTCCCCTGAGCTTAAAGTCTTGGGTTGACGACACAAGTCCGATACTAGGACGTATCTCAGTCAGCCTTCTCTGAGCTATTACTTGACCTGCGTGAAAAAAAGTGAAGTCCCCGAAAGGAAACAAACCTCTCAACACAACACAATCTTCAGACCTCAAACGCCATCACATACTTTCGGCCTTGCACCGCTGCAAATTTTATAGTTCAACATGGTTGGCCTAGGACCGAAGCCTCCCCCGTCGAGGAAGGGTACCGGTACGTGTGATTTTAAGCTTAAACGAGCTCTCCCGTCTTTCTCCCGTTGCGGCCCAAATATCCATTGGCCTCCACCATGACCCTCTTTCACGATGATTGCCACGGCAGCCCCCCAACTGCGGATGCCGCCTGCCACTTAGGGGTAAGGGAACACATTGGGTGCTTGGCGGTAGCTCCTGCTCTCTCTGTGTTCCCTTGCCCCTGGGAGAGGTAGTGGTTGATGTGGAGGTTGGGGGAAGCTCGTCCGTTTTTTTCACATGTTGGTCTTGTTGATGTTGTTCTACCTTCACCTTATCTGGGGTTGGGTGCTACTCGAAAGCAGGCAACGAAAAGGAGGCAAAGTTGGACAAGTGTGCACAAGAGTTTCTCGAAGCGAACCATGGTTATTCGGAGTGGCTTTGTGACATTGGCTTCACGAGGGCATTGTGAAGTCCCTAGTGCCTCGCGGACTTGTCGGACTTCGCGGACTGTCTGAAAAACACGCCTTAGCAGCCTTTCTACCTGCCCACGCCCGTTCCTTCTCTCTTTTGAAACACCGTCCCATATTGTTCTACCGTCTGTTGTACTCCCCGCTCCACTCTTCATCCTGTTTCCCGATACCCGGTCAACTGATTGCTTTGGGATTCTCTATTCTCTTCCCTTTTTGCCTACCTTGCCCGCAGAGAGAGAATTGAGGATGCAAAGACATCGGAATGGCAACATCGGAAAAACAACTGGACTCCCTTCTCTATCCTAAAATCACCTACAACCGCGTTCTCGTCCGATACCTTTTTCCTCTTTCCACTTCTTCCACTTTTCCCTTCTATTTCTCCCTACAGAGGCGCTCTCACCAATTCTTCGGCTACAACAACCACATACCCGCCCGACAACGCAAGGCATAGAGCGCGCGATACCCCTTTAGCGACTAACCATGACTGTGGATACAGGCACGCTCAACGATGCACCCAGGTCGCTGATCAAGGAGATCAAGGATCTGGAGCAGCTATTGACCGTTAACACCGACAAGTTAAAGGAGATCACGAATCACTTCATCAATGAACTCACAAAGGGTACGTGCAGCGCTACCGCGCAACGACTAAGCGCGAAGAAAGAGCATATTGTTAACGAGTAACAGGCCTGAGTGTGGCAGGCGGCAGTATTGTAAGTTAGGATCGCGACCACGTTCACGAACATCCTTTGCTAACCCGTCCGATAGCCCATGAACCCGACCTGGGTCATGTCGCGGCCGACCGGGCATGAGACAGGCAGCTTCCTGGCGCTGGACATGGGCGGCACCAACTTGCGGGTGTGCCAGGTGACTCTGACGGAGCAGAAATCCGAGTTTGATATTATCCAATCGAAGTACCGCATGCCGGATGAGCTGAAGACGGGCGAGTCGGACGAGCTGTGGGAGTACATTGCCGACTGCCTGCAGCAGTTTATTGAGACTCACCACGGTGATGCGAGCAAGCTGGATAAAATTCCGCTCGGTTTCACCTTTTCATACCCGGCCACCCAGAACTACATTGATGAGGGTATCCTGCAGCGCTGGACCAAGGGCTTTGACATTGCCGGTGTTGAGGGCCACAATGTAGTGCCCATGTTTGAAGCTGCTCTGGCTCAGCGGGTAGGTTTTATTCACGAGTCCTCACTTTTTCAGGAGTAAACCGCCGCTAACTAGCAACAGGGCGTTCCCATCAAGCTGACTGCTCTGATCAACGATACCACGGGCACACTCATCGCTTCAGCCTACACCGACCCCAAAATGCGGATCGGTTGCATCTTTGGCACCGGCTGCAATGCGGCTTACATCGAGGACTGCGGTTCGATCCCCAAGCTTGCCCACCTTAACCTGCCGGCCGACACGCCCATGGCGATCAACTGCGAGTGGGGTGCCTTTGACAACGAGCACCAGGTGCTGCCGCGCACTCAGTACGATGTCGCGATCGACAAGGACTCACCGCGCCCCGGCCAGCAGGCGTTCGAGAAGATGATTGCGGGGCTTTACCTCGGCGAGATCTTCCGCCTCATCCTGGTCGACCTGCACGATAATCACGAGATCCACATCTTTGCGAACCAGGACATTGCCAAGCTGCGCAAGCCGTACTCGCTGGATTCGTCCTTCTTGTCGTCCATTGAGGAGTATGTTCTGATCCTTTGAGAGAGATTTGATGTGATTGATGGGATGTTCTAACTAAGCGAATAGGGACCCCTTTGAGAACCTGTCGGAGACCCTGGAGCTCTTCCAGAGCAAGCTCAACATCACCCCCAACCTCCCCGAGCTGGAGCTCATCCGCCGCACGGCCGAGCTTATTGGCACGCGCGCGGCTCGTCTCTCGGCTTGCGGCGTGGCAGCCATCAGCATCAAGAAGGGTTACAAGACCTGCCACGTCGGCGCTGACGGCTCCGTGTTTAACAAATACCCCCATTTCAAGGCCCGTGGCGCCGTGGCGCTCCGTGAGATCCTCGACTGGCCCGAGAAGACGGACGAGAAGGAGGAGGACCCGATTGAGATCTTGGCCGCTGAGGATGGCAGTGGTGTGGGCGCTGCGCTGATTGCTGCCCTGACTCTGGAGCGTGTGCAGCAGGGCAACATGCACGGCATTTTGCACCCGGAGAACTTCAAATAAGTGCTCACTTCGCAGCGGCTAGACGGGTTCCATCGGGGACTTCACGGGGTAGCTGCAAGATCTGGACAGTTGCAGATGTGTCGCTTGACTGATTCAAGGGGCAAGAGTCGCGACGCGGCTATGTGAGTTTATGTCATCGGAATTCGGTTCGCATTTGGGAAATGGTTTGGGAATACCACCAAGGGCGATAAAGTGTGCGCTCTTCTGACCTTTCAGCCTTGTCACCTAGTTTACAGGTCCCAGGGCGGTTGAGCTGGGGCTTTTGCTCGAGACTTTTGTGCTTCTCAGACGTGGGAAAGGCTGGACTGATAACGTGGTCCTTTTCGTTGATGGCCGGCCCATGTTCCAGCAGATTAGCTGCTTGGGCTGTGGCATGAGCTGAAGCACGAACACTTTGCCCATTCACGAAGGGTAACGGGTGCGATATGTTGAGTTGTAGTGTAACTGAACTTGAGTACCCTATGCTACGCCAGGTGCAGCCAAATGCAATCAATGCGATGATTTTATCCTTTTACTCTCGCCAGTATGTCTTTGTCTGTTCACCTCTCTTCTCCTTTCATCTTATCTCATCTCATCTCTCCATCTCTCATCCTTTCTCCTCCTCCCCCAACCTTCTCCTCTCTCTCTCTCCATCTCCCATCTACTCCGCCTCCACCTTCCCCCCCAACTCCTCCCTCAAAACCCCCCCCGCAACCTCCAGCGCCGCCCCAAAAGCCTCAATCAACTCCCCCACCGGCTCCAACCCAACACTAATCCTTACCTGTTCCGGATTCGCTCCAAACGTCTTGAGATACTCGGCGGCCTCGGGGTCTGCCGTACCCCAGATGGCGTCGTTGAAAGGGAAAGCTAGGGTGCGGTGCGCGCCTAGGTGCGGGCCGTGGTGCACGGAGAGGTGGTTGTAGAAGGATTTGGCTGTTTGGAGGGTGGGGAAGTCTAGGGCGAGGAGGCAGCCGTGGCCGGGGGTGAATTTTATCGCGTTGGTTGGTGTTTGTGACTCTGTGGGGTGTTGTTGAGGGTCCGTTGGGGGTTGTTGTTGCTGGAGCGGCTGGGCAAAGGGTTGTCGCATCATAGCTTGGTAATGCGCATGTGTATCAGTAAAAGGCGGGTAAAGAACTGCCTTCACCAGAGCAGGTAACGACGGCGTTTCTAGCCGAGGTTGAGTGTACGAGTGTAAGAAGGTAGCTAAGGCTAGGGCGTTGGCGTTGAGGGTGGCGGAACGGGCGAAATAGTCGCGGGAGTTGGCCAGCAGCTTGACGGCGTCGGCGTGGAAGTATTCGTTGCGGAATTGGGTGGTGAGGGTGGATTTTAGGGGGGTGTGGAAGGGAGAGGTTGGGGGGAGGACGATGGAGCCGCCCATTACCTAGTGTATGAGTATGAGGGTTAGTTCGTGTTTTCAGTGTAAAAAGAAGGAAAGGAAAAAAATGAAGAAAAAGAAAAAAAAGGGGGGACTGGGATAAAGGGGACATACGTTGGCGTAACCGCTGACGGCCTTGGTGGTGGAGGTGATCACGACGTCGGATACTGGGGTAACGTCGATGTTGCAGAAGGACCCTATGGTCTCGTCGACTACGACGGGGATGGAGTATTTGTCGGCCTAGTACGGGTCAGTCTTCTATCTCTTCGTTTGGGGACCGGAGAAAGGAAAAGAAAACATAGAAAAAAAAAGAAAAAAAAAAAAAAAAAAAAAAAAAAAAAAAAA